TATATATATATATATATATAATTACTATCAAAAATGTGAATCTTGTTGAAATTCAATAGGTTATATCTTTTTGCATTGCTGTAAAATTTATTTATTATGTTTGATTTAAATGCAAATAGATAATATTTACATGGAAACGTTCAACTCTAGAAGTACTTGAAACAATTAAAAGAAGATATCAGTGTTTATTATAAAGATTTATAAATTTATCTGCTTTGATTAAACAATTTGAAATTGACACAGCCGATATCGATTTCTCGTTGCAAAATCAATTGATTGAACTCAAGGAGAATTTGAAATGCAAAATCAAATTTCCAACATGTGGATTGGAAATTATAAAAAATACCATTATTTCTAGATTATCCCAATTATATTAAAGGTGATTAATATTTATGTTATATTAAAGTAATTAATATATTATAATAATATATAAGTCAAACGAAGTTGTAGAATTGTTAACAAATATTTATGTTACTATTTGTGCATTACAAAATATAAAATTTAGGGGTCGATTAAACAAGGTTTTTCAAGTGTGTCAATGTAGAACACAAGTTGGAAACACCTGCTATAGACGTTAAATAATCCTCAGAGTACGTAAAGTATTATGTAATATGATGACATAATTATATCAATTGCTGCAATTAATATAGAATATAAAATAATAATAAAATGCATTTCAATTTTATATAAACAAAAAATATATACAATAAACAGTCTTTTTCTAATAAGTTTTACAAGATTATTGTTTTAAGTTATATGAAGCAATGATATAAAATTGATCAATTTCCAGCGGATGTGTAACATATGAGTCAACGTTTCCAAAAAGAATTAATTATATTACAAAATGACATTTAAACCAAATTTCATCAAGTTCAAGACAATAATTTTAAATTTATAGCATATATATTACTAAATTTGGTAATGCAATAGTTTATCACAACTATTTTAGCAATTATATTTATTACATTTGCCATGTGGATTTTATTTGTTCATATCCATTAAATATATATATATATAGATCTGTATTCTTAAAGTTTATTAATTGTAATTTGGTTCGACCTTCGACCAATAACAATCTTTTAGAACGACAGGAAACAATAAACTATGAGCTACAATACGTTCTTTTTCTGTGAACTTAAACAGCAAAATAAACGGAAGTTGCTTTTTAATTTAAAATCTTTGATTTCCTTTATATAAAAATACTATTTAAATTAATTAGAAATCTGTTTTTGACTACATAAGTTAAATGTTTGCTGATCTAACTGCCTCAAATGAGTTATATAAGGATGTACAGGAATAACTCGCTTAGTTAATCGGTAATCGGTTTCGGACTAATCCAGAAACTAAAAATAAACCGCACAATATGAGATTATCTTTAGAATTGTTTTTTTTATTAAAAAATAGTTTATTTTGAAATTTTAAAACCATATTGAATTCGTATTAACAAATAATATATTACATAATTGTAAAATAATGAACGACAAAATTTATAACAAATATTTGTATTTCTATATAAAAAACTGATTTAACAAGGTAGAAATTAGTAGCAGACAACTAGTTTGTTTATAGATTGATACAAATTTATCAATCAAAGGTTATATTTATATATAAAAAAAACATGTATATTAAACTTTTATAAAACCGATCAAACGGATTACGGAATCCAAGCAATAAGGAAATTTTATAAACTGTTACACCAATTAATTATACCGGCAATAACTGATCCAAATGGATATTAAAAATAAAAACTAAATAAATTAAACCAAAACAAAATTAGCATTCCATTAAAATAAAAAATTAAAGCAATAATGTTGAATCTCCGAAAGGTTATCGGGTGATGAACTAATTCTGGACAACCTTATAAATAATCCAATAATTTTGAGTTGAAAAGTATTTGAGGATTTATAGAAAACACACATACGCGATCCTCTAAGAACGAGAGAGATGGCGGAGGATGGAAACAAGAACTGATTCAGATTTTATTGGGTCTTGTGAAATGAATTTGGTCCACGGTTACGTAACTTGCACGCAGCGCAAACAATATCCAAATTTTCACACTAGATTTCGATAAAACTATCATTCCACCATATAGATAGGCATCGCCCACAACAGTTCTATTAGCGTAATCGTTGCAAGATCGTTACTCAATAGCGTAGGAATTCTTAAAAAAATATTTTCTATGTAGAATTGTCGCTAATTAATTTCTCATATTGATACCATTTTTCCTTAAGAAAACACTCTATTTCGCAGTTCGTAAATCAATCACCGTCAGATTCCAATTAAACGCGCGATTGATTGAGTTCTTGTCAGCCAAAATTAATAAAACGAATGGAAACACAGTAGAGGTAAATCACCTTCTGGCTATAATAAATTAATTATATAATTTGCTGCGAAATTGCTCTACTGATGTTATACAATTCATTTATTATTGTGTTTTCATTTACATTTCATTGTCATTTATTATAATGTTGCTTTAATTTTGATATATTTTATATTAAATGAGGCATTCTTTTGTTGAGAAATAAATACAAAACGGAGGACTTATTACAAAATTGTGTTATTGTGGTGAATGTATTACAACTAAAAACAGTTGTAATTCAATTAACAGATTTACACAAATTAATATTTAAATTTATATTAATTAATATATCATGATAGCCCTCTAACTAATATTTTAGATAAGAAACGTGTTAATTCTTACATTTATAATATTTTGTAATAAATTATGATAAGTATATACTTGAGGGAAGTTTAATAGCAGTTTACATATATTTTTATTGATATATTAAATAAATTGTATTTTAATTGGCGTCATTTTGTTTGTATAACTTAATATGTTCCATCGCCTAATTTTGCTAATAATAAATATAGAATGCTGCACGAAATAACAACGCGTTTTTATTATTAAAACTAACTTTAAAATTTGTAATATTTTGCAGTTCTCAAAATTCGTGAAATCATGATCCAAACGATTCCTCAATTTAAGTCCTTATAGATGCTTGTACAAGAATTAAACGATCGAGGAAGCACTTTACAACAAATAACGATCTACATACTGGATCCAACTGACCCAATAACAAACAGAGCATACGTAATCAGAAAATTTGTACTTTTCAAAGAACTAAAAATATTATCATTTTTCTAATAAAAAATGGAATTAATTAGAAAAATGCATTTTTGTTATTATATACTATTCACAATTTCTAAATAATAATAATTTATTGCCCAAACATCAATACATAAGAAGAAGAACAAAAAAAGTACAATTTATACATAAATAAATTTTAACATACAATAAAAAAATATATATTAATAGGCTGGCCAAAGGGCTAACGACCGAGGTCTTTCCACCCGGAAACATAAATTTAATTATGAAATAATATCAGTCTACAGTCTATCTATCAACAGAAGAATAAGGGAAAAAAATTATATATATATAGAGCTGTAGTTTATTTTTTAGTAATCGAAGGATGAAGGGTGGAAGAGAGTAGTTTTAAGTTGTTATTTTGATTTTGGGGGAGTTCTGAATAACTGTGGAGAACATAAGTGAATAGAATTCGGAGATGATTTCTGGAGAAGGATCCGGATTTTGGGAAATGAAGGAGAGAAGACTGGAGTTAACAATGGTTTCGACAAACAGCGAAGAGGAAATGTTATTTTTAATTATATAGGATTTAATAAGGTGGGATTAAGGGTGAAAGGAATTTATATTGGAATACAAGACACGGAGGCTGCTATCCATTCAAAGGAATTGATTTAGAGGTGCCCTGCGTAGATAATGTGGGCAACTCATGACCTGGATTGTCCTGGTCGAACATAAAAATGTACAAATAGTACAAATGCACACATGGGTATCCACATAGAAGTCATTCAAAAATCGTTTTTTTAGCTTCTGAACCAGTGCAGCTCGGTCCGAATGCTTGGGGTTATTGAGTTTGTTCGTAAAGGTATTAATTATATAGTCATGGAGACGTGAAATTTAATTCGTCCATTACATTAAAATAGTTAAAACATGTTGACAGTAAAGGAATAGTTTTAAAGCTAAATTTAATGTTATTACAGATTTTAATATATATATAAAAACAAAACATTTTATTATAAATATTTGTAAACAAATGAAAAAAAACAATTATATTAACTTTATTTAATGAACATTATTACATATATACACAATTTTGTAAGGTTGGGAACATTAATATATCACATGTAAATATGTAACATGAATTATTTTCATTATATTTCACATATAATTTAGATTTTATAGTTTCAACACTTAATTCTTTAAATATTCCCAGGACAAATTATTAAAAATCGGGACTGTTCCGCCAAAAGTGTAACGAATCTACGCATTATCAGTAAATATAATTTCATAAGTACATTAAAATAAAATTAATATTAATTAGGTGTAATGTATTTAATTAGTATTGGCTATAATGATCAATACTATTAAACATATTTACAACTGTTTGTAAATAATTTTATTATAAAATTATATTGTATAGCTTTATTTCCAATCTTTTATTAGGTTGATATTCAATTTTAAGATGATAAGAAAATAGTGAATGTTTTTTTGTTTTGATAAGTTTTAGTAAATACCGCACTTTTCGGATATATAACATGCACTGTAATATGCACTACCAAAGTAAATGACTAATTTTAGCAAAAAAATATGTTATCATATAACAGACCACAAGACGCAGCCCATTCTAATTATATTTCTCTATCTAGAACATGCATTTTACGATAACAAATATATGGTATATAATTTTCTTACAGCACTAGTTGCTAATCAATATTAGTATAGTTATGTATGAATTCTTGGGAATATGAAAAATAATAAATATTTGTTTAATTTTATGGCTTTTATTCTAACTTAATATTTCGATTGACTAGATTTAATGATGGTAGGCTTGGTATACTGGGGCAGATACGACAGTCTTAGTTGGGATAAAAGCTTTGGCTACAACAGCTTTTTGGACAATTGGTTCTCCTTTGTATTCGACTTCAGCGTTGAATCCATTGTGGGAGTCAGCGGTGTAGTGGACGGTACGGGTGACACCATCAGGTTGTACCAAGGTGTAGTAACCCTTGACGACATCTCCGTCACGTTCTTCGTGTTGGTTCTTAACGTCACCAGTATGGGCGTCTTGGACACCGTATTCGTAGGTATATTGTGGGTGGCTGTCTGGGTATACTTCTTGGTGGACGGCCTTGACGATTGGGGCAGCGTAATGGGCAACTGGGGCGGCATATTGAGTTACTGGGGCGGCGGCATAATGAGCAACTGGAGCGGCGTACTGAGCTACTGGGGCGGCGGCATAATGAGCTACTGGGGCAGCATAGTGAGCAGTAACTGGAGCGGCGTATTGAGCAACTGGAGCTACATGTTGGTTGATTGAAGAGTAAGAACTGGCATGTTGTCCATGTCCAAGTTCGAAGACACCAGCTTGAGCGCAAGCTACCAAAGCGGAAATAGCCAAAATCTGTAACAAAGTACTTATTAAATAAACCATCTATAAAAACTGAAATTAAGCAAAACTCACTTTAGCGAACATTGTTGTGCCGTGTCAACTGGTCAATTGATACTACTCAGTGGATCATTGCAGATTTTATATATAAAGCAAACCCGTCTTAATTTAGAAAGTGAAACAGATTGCCCCTAAAATGAAGTTGAAGTGAAAAATTATAATATTGCCAATACTTGTTTGCACGAAAAAGTTTCCAAGTTCACGGCTGGAATGTATGACAAAATACGCAAACGTAAGACTTTTAAGTAAAAGTTATGAGCGCAGCCGACTGCGGACCACTTTCATATAAAAGAGTGCACGGGCGGCGGATCCAGTATCAATCGATCCGTTGAAGAATCAACAACAAACATGTTCGCTAAAGTAATAATTTTTAAAAATATTTTCTCAAGTGCATTTTATAATATTATATTATGATTATTTTAGATCTTGGCTGTTTCCGCATTGGTAGCTTGCGCTCAAGCTGGAGTCTTCGAACTTGGACATGGACAACATGCTAGTTCTTACTCTTCCATCAACCAACATGTAGCACCAGTTGCCCACTACGCCGCCCCAGTTGCTCATTATGCCGCCGCCCCAGTAGCACAATACGCCGCCCCAGTTGCCCACTATGCTGCCGCTCCAGTTGCCCACTACGCCGCCCCAGTCGTCAAGGCCGTTCACCAAGAAGTATATGCTGATACCCACCCACAATATTCTTACGAATACGGTGTACAAGACGCCCATACCGGTGACGTAAAGAACCAACACGAAGAACGCGATGGAGATGTTGTCAAGGGATACTACACCTTGGTCCAACCTGATGGTGTTACCCGTACCGTTCACTACACCGCTGACTCCCACAACGGTTTTAACGCTGAAGTTGAATACAAGGGAGAACCAATCGTCCAAAAAGCAGTAGTAGCCAAGACCATCGTAGCTGCTCCAGTTTACAACGCCTACCATCATTAAATCTAGTCAAATTACACATAGTTAGTTACAATAAAAACAATATAAAATATGAACTGTCTATTATTTAAAAAAAACCATCTAAATTAAATACCGGATAAAAACTATGTACATATTGGATGGATTATTTATTATTGAAACAATTATAAAATAGTAACAATTTTTCTATTTTTTAAGACAATATTAACTGAGCTAAGATTACAAAATTCTATTTTTTAAGAAATCATTTAATTTTATTTATTCAGTTTTCATTATACATGAAATTAAGAGAAACTAAATTTATTCAGTTCAATATTTATTTATTTTCAAAATACTATCTCTATACATTATAAGCTTCCTTTTTGAATTTGATATCGTTATGAGAAAATGATTCGATTCATTTTTAAAACATAGAATGGTTCCATCGTATCCACAAATTTCCATTAATATGAGAAAAATATTCCATTTTCAAATACCTTTGAAATATGATACATTTAAATATTTAAATTATTATCTAGCAATTGCTTATTAATATATAACTAATAACAATGTTCATGCTTTACAAATAATTTGTTGGAATTTTATTTAAAATTTCTATAGTTAAAGAATGTTAACACGCAATTGTTAACATTGAATGTAAATATCGTTAGGATTGAAATATTAAAAGAAAGTCAATGCTGCTAATCAAAACAATAAAAATATAAAAAAAATTATAAGAAAATTTAAATTCACGGTTCAAAATTATTAAACACTTATACCAAACATTTTTATATAATATTTCAAAATTTATTCAATCATGTTTTAATTATATAAAATATAAAGTAAATAATAAACCTAATGAAATAAATATTAAAAATAATTTATTGAACACTCTCACATAAAAAGTGAGGGCTATTTTAATTTATACAATATTTTTTTTATATGAAAATTGTTTTTTTTATAACAAATGTTTTTTTTTATATTTTGTCAATATTATGATTATATGATTATGTGTTAATTTTTATCTGATTATATAATATTATCAAAATAATTGTCCATTATGCACATACTAATTAATTAGTGGAATGACAAAAATGACATTGAATACAGAAAAAAACTACAAAGAGTGTAAATTATTAAATTAATTTCCTTAATTTGTTTTCATGCCCAACAATAACAATTTTTAAAACGATTGTATATTTTGAAATGATGTAATTTTCAAAGAAGTACTTTTACATTATTAAGATATATTTTAAGTTATTAAAATAATATAAAGTTATATTTTGATACATTTTTTATTTTCTATTCAGAACGAAATGTGGAAACTAATAATATAAGATAGTGAAAATTAACATATTCATACATTTGCAAATTATAATTATTATTAAATTTCTTGAGAAATGCACATAATTTACAAAAGCTAATAGGTTTGAATAAAATTTATTATGCATTATTTCATGAACTGGCATGTAGTCTTAAAAATGTAAATAAAATTAAATAAACATATTATGAATTATGATAATATATATTTTTCTGAATCAAACAAATTATTCCTCCTGTTATTGATATTTTTATTGCACCAATATTGCACTGAACACGATACTTGACTTTATGTCAAATAAATAAAATGGAAACACACAATTCCCAGTAATTATTGATAAATATATCACACACAACACTTATCGAATTTTTAATAATTAAGCACCAATTTAATTGCATGCACATACTTAAAGTTAATAATGAAATGATATTTGTCCACAGAAGCAAAATTTATACACATCACAAATTTCACGTTTTTTTTTTGAAACAGTAAAATCTTTTTCATCAACTTTGGACCACTTTGTACTTTAGTATCACGAACACTAAATAATATTATTTTAATGACTTCACTTTTATTAAACACTCAATAAATTAGAAAAAAAAGTACTCATAAAGAAATAAAAAGTATATTTGTATTAATGATGGTAAGCGTGAAGGAGCACTGGAGCAGCTACTACAACTTTCACAGGAACTATTGTTTTGTGCACTATTGGAATTCCCTTGTATTCGACGTTAGCGTTGAAACCATGGTGTGCATCAGATGTGTAATGGACAACACGAGTAACACCATCAGGTTGGACCAACATGTAGAATCCCTTGACGATATCACCGTGGCGTTCTTCGTCTTGGACTCCGTATTCAAAATAATAATGCGCAGGAATATCAATGTAAACTTCCTTCTTGATAACAGGAGCTTCATCATGCGACCCTATAGGGGCAACAATGTGAGCTACTGGTGTAGCATGTTACTATTGGAGTCACAGGAACTATGGAAGTTGCATAAACTACTGGTCATGCATGTACAATTGGATGGGCAGATGCGTGAACAACCGGGACAACATGCGTAACATGGCTAGTAATTGAAGAATAAGAAGTGACGCCAGGCGCGCAATTGACTCCAACATTGAACAATGATGTCAAAGCGAATATCGCAATAATCTACAAAAATATATAAAATAAATTGCATGAGCAAATTTATAACATGTTTAAGTATATATATATATACTTATTTTACTAATCATGTTAGTTTATCAATTCTTCGTTTTCAGTTGACATGTTGAAAGTGAACTGATAAAAACTCAAATCGATCATGTCTTTATATACCTGATATTTGGTAACCAAATTAATGCAATTACAAAATCGTTACATTTCTAAACTGTAAGTCGATCACTTTTCAATATTAGGTATTTATTTACATAAAGTATCAAAATATTTAAAGCGGTAAATCAAATTATGTAATATAAACAGGCACACGCATATTGATTAAAGCTTAATTTGCATAACTTACATATAAGTGATAATAATAATTCGTATTGATTGTACAATAATTATTTTCATTATTCACATATGCACATATATGAAATATTTTATTATTAAAATTTCACTAAACTTTACTCTACTGCTGATTACAATTGTTTAATCACATTCTATAATATTATTTTGTTTATTGACTAATTCAAAAGTGCAAAAATACTAAATTGCATATCTATGTAACAAATATGTTTGTTCTATTTTGGCCACTAAACAATTATTATTATTTATAAAAATAAGTTTGTTATTAAATTGTAATTATGTACTAAATAAATAATTATAAATTCATTAATTATGCATACTTAGTATGTGTGAAATATTCAAATAAAACATTGTTAATGAAGTGTTCGGGTTACGCAAAAGTTTCGTAAATGTATTAACTGGTGAACGTATATAAAGCGAACTAGAATTCAATATCAGCATCAGAAACGTTCGGTTGTTTGAAACGTTAACATTAACGCAATAAACAAAAAATGTTTGCTAAGGTAAATTTAAATTTGTTTTATAACTAATAATTACTCAAATACGAGTGTTCGTTAAATTACAGATTTTGGCTATTTCTGCTGTCGTAGCTTTTGCTCAAGGTGGAGTTATCAATCTTCATCACGATGCTCATGCCACATCTTTCTCCTCCCTTAATTTTGGAGTTCCGGTCGCACATGTTGCTCCAGTAGCTGCAGTAGCTCACGTTGCTCCACTTGCTCATGTAGCACCAGTAGCTCATATCACACCCGTTGTTGCTAAAGTTGTAGCTCCAGTCATCAAGAAGGAAATTTACGCTGATGTTCCAGCTCATTACTCTTACGAATATGGAGTTAAAGATTCCCACACCGGAGACATCAAGGACCATCATGAAGAACGCAATGGTGATGTAGTTAAGGGATTCTACACTCTGGTCCAACCTGATGGTGTCACCCGTACCGTCCATTACACTTCCGATGCTCACAATGGTTTCAACGCCAACGTTGAATATAAAGGAGAACCCATTGTACAAAAGGCTGTAGTAGCTAAGGCCATCGTTCCAGTCAAAGTAACTGCTCCAGTTTATCATGCTTACCACCACTAAATTATTGTAAAAATGTTATTGTTATATATTTAATAAACCAATAGAAACTATTTCTGCTATATATCCGTTTACCTGAATACATATTATACAGTAAATATTATTTTCAATTTCAAAAAATACGAGAACTATTTCGTCAAAATTACTTTGACCCAAATTGGGTTTTGAAAATATTTTTGCTTTATAACAAGTTTAAAACCACATCTATAAAATTTAATATAAAAATACTTACATATTAATAATCGGAAAAGACGGATATCAATAGCTCTTAAATAAATCTTATATCTGGAAGTTGAATTGTTTATAATTTACTTTTCAGATTAAATATTAGTTTCAATGAAATAAAAATAGTTGGATCGAATGGCCAATAACGGAATAATATTTTTTGAACCAAACTAAAATACATTGCACGAAAAAATAGGACATTTTACGACAGAAATATTGATCGATATTTCTTTTACCAACTATTACACCTAAATTGGCATGTCAAAATAGCACGTTCGAACGTCATGAAATCAGCTGATTTATAATGTAAACCAACGACTTATTCTTATTCGATTACAACCGAATCCAAACTTAAAGAAACTAAACTAGATTTACTAGAGTAAATATGGAAATGCATATGCAAATAGTTTTATATTATAAATCAGCTATTTTCATGACGACCGAAAGTTCTACTTTGACGCGCCAGTTCAGATGGTGTCGTTGTTAAGAAAAATTTGTCTTGACATTAATAATTCCCCAAATATAAACTCCATAATTATCAATCCAACTCTGGGAACATATGTAAGATTCATAAACTGTAAGAAAAATGTTTATTGAAAATAATTGATGAAATTTAATATTTAACATAAGTTTATTGCGGCTTCAAAGTATATCAGTACACTTTTTATATATAATAATATATAATAATATATAACTATAATTAGCAATTTAAGAAGTACCATTATAAGTTTAGTGTTTTTTAATCTTTTGGTCAACAGTCCTTTGCAGCAGTTGAATTTTATTTTATTATTGTATTGAGTCTTTTTTTTATTTTGTTATTTATTGGAACAAAGCAATTACATTTAAAATTTATATTTTTATTTAAACCAATTATAAAAACAGCAATACCTCGCATAGTGAAGTTTCTTATAACTCCGTTTTCAATATTCAAAACATACTATTTTAATTAAACTAAAAAATAACACATTTTATAAAAGTTAAAAGTCATCGATACGTGCCGGTTTCAAATTGTCCGGGATATTAGCTATATATAAACAAGTTAATTAATTAATTAATTTTCAGATATTGAGAATAAGCTTTTATTCAAATATTACATAAATAAAATATTTTCATCTTTGAAACATACATGTTATTGAAATTAGAAAGTATGGATTAGTAAATCCCTTTATTAGCTAATAGCGTTATCGAAACAGATGTAGATTATCGAACTTGTAATGCAGTTTACCAAATCACCTTGAAAAATCTTATATAGATTTTACCCTAATATAATATGTATGAAATTACGCAATGTATTTTCATCAATCAGTAAATAGATCAATGTCAAACAAACATTATTTTAATTGCTTAATGTATATACGCTATTTGTATAAATTAGGACGTTGCATGAATTTTTATTTTCTAATAAATTGATTTACTGCAGAAATACTTTTTTGTAAAATTGGTTATTAACTTTTCTTATAACGGAACGGAACGGAACTTATAATCCTGAAATTTTCAGTGAATATCTTTTTTATATCTAAACACTCATTATTTATTTAGTAATTATTTCATTCTAGGTTTTCACGGAACACCTTTAACTCTCCGCGGAACACTGGTGTTTGGGAAACTTTATAACAAATTTATTTATTTATTTAAAAATATTTATTGGACACAATCTGTACGAAAGGGCTATCGACCAAGGTTTTTCCGCACCGTGAGTACAATATCAAATTACAGTTATACAGCTGCAATCAATAACATAACAATATCAGAAAGTATATAAAAAAATGCTTTATATAGCCTAACTAATGTCTTAGATATATTTATAAAATTTCAGTAAATCGAAATGATAATATATGAACTAATTAAAATAATCTATAGTAAAATATGTTTTTGTTATAAAAACGGATATCTTTTTACATAATAAACTGGAATTTGATTGAATATATTTATAAGTATAAACTATATAAAAATAGATACAAATTTATATATTATTATAATATCAAAATACATTTTTTATTTTAAATGTAATGTTTTCATCCGCCCTATCCTCACTTACCCCATAACATACTACACCATTGCTCCACCCAGACAACTAAAAATAATCCTTCAGTTTGAACGCAAATGCATCCGCAAAATCCTTCGCCTTCACTACCGACACCCCTCTTCCACCCTCTATAACCTGGTCACCTTCCCAAACATCCTCGAATACATTAAAAAACTCCAAGGCCGACTCGCTTCACGCATAGCCCTTCAAGATCACTCCCACCCTCTCACTCTTCAAACCCCCAACATTCTCCAAAGTCCCAAAGGAAAAAATCCCTCACCCCCCTGCCGTGCTGGCGTCCTACGCTGACTCCAACGACCCCACATTGATGCAACTCCTCCAGGACTTTAAAAAACACTTCCCCTCAGTGATGTAAATCTTTCGTTTTTCGTGCAGTGAAGTGATTATTACTAATTATGTGTGTTCTATCTCTGTTTGTTTTCTATTATTTTTGTTGATTTTTTTTTTTTTTTTTTTTGTTTTGTAAAACTTTATGTAATTAAGAGGCTGAAAGAGGCTGAAGCCCATAACAGTCTGCATTCTTTTTTGTATCACACCCTGTAATATGTATGTAAGCTAACATAATAAATTCTAACCTACCTTAAATGTAATGTTGTAAACTACATTGTTTAAATATCTTTAAGTATGTAAATTATTCATATAAAAATTCCGATCAATTTCGCTTTTGATATTTATATATAGTTTATAATGGGGGTAACTTCTAAAGAAAACATTTTTTAAATATACTGTAGTTACTATATTACCAGGGTAGGCAACCTTTTTGGAGCAAAGAGCCACTAAGAAGATAACTAATTTTGTTAATACATATACATATTTATAAATTTAGTCTTTAGATTTATCTAAGTGATTTGTGATATGTGATTTAAAAAATCAGAACAATTTATTAAATAAAATACAAATAAGCAACCATTAATAAAAGACAGAACAGTATAATAAAGCGACTTAATGTGCACACTATTCAATAAAAATAATACTGTATTAAATTAAAAGTAAATATTTAATATTTATATATAAATCAATTGCATTATAGACAGACAAGTAGATTTTAATGGTTAATGTATAAAATAGAATGTGTTTAAATAAGCGTACACTTATGTAAATGAGGAAAAAATCAACGTGTTGTAACCCAAATTAAAAGGAGTTGCTCTAATATATAAATGAAGCCGGTTGAGTACATCAATGTCAGAATAGTTTGTCTACCGAAATAACATACAACATCATGATTGCTAAGGTAAATTTAGTAACATGGCAATATAACAAACAATAATTTAATAATTTATTTTTTAGATTTTCGGATTTGCAGCTCTCGTAGCTGTTGCTAATGCTAGAGTTTTCGAACTTCACCATGGTGAACATGGATCATCTTATTCTTCAGTAAGTTTCGCTGCAGCTCCAACTATTGTAAAAACTGCTCCTGTTACACATGTTGCTCCGATTGCTCACGTCGCCCCCGTCGTACATATTGCTCCAGCTGCTCACATCGCTCCAGTTGTTACTAAAGTTGTAACTCCAGTCATTAAGAAAGAAGTATACGCTGATACTCCAGCTCATTACTCTTACGAATACGGAGTTAAAGATTCCAATAGCGGAGATATCAAGAACCAACATGAAGAACGCAATGGTGATGTAGTCAAAGGATTCTACACATTGGTTCAACCTGATGGAGTCACCCGTACCGTCCACTATACCTCTGATGCCCACAGTGGATTTAACGCTAATGTTGAATATAAAGGAGAACCAATTGTACAGAAAGCTGTAGTAGCTAAAGCCATTGTTCCAGCTGTTGTAGCACCAGTATACCAAGCCTACCACCATTAAATAATGATTGTTGCAAATTTGTTATATTTTCTTAATTATAAATAAACTATTATATGTATAAACTCATTGATATTTACATTATTATAATTACAAAATCCAAACTAATCAATAAATATTGATTTCAAAGTTATCTTCTCTTGTAATTCAATTAATATTTCTTCTTCAATTCTGTCTTCTCATGGATAATAAACAAATTATTATTATTTAATTTTAATTAATAATGATGTATTGTCATTGTAAATTTAAAAACATAAAGAAATAATTCTATACAAATAAAAAATTAAATTAATTTCCTTTCTAATTCTAATTATTTTCTTCAGAAATTAAATATAAAACATCGGTATGCACTTGTAATTTTCAATAGAATAATTGTACCTAAGATATAAGCCTTTCAACTATGTGCAAAGATTGGACCACAAAGAAAATGTATCATCCACAAAACTTTTGTTAACAAACTGAAGAAATGTGGATGTATTTTTAAAAAAATTATTAAAATTTCCAATAAAACAAATATTTATTTGCCTTAATTTTGACATTATTCTATACTATACTTCAATAGTACAGAATAAATATAAAGAAGAAATATATGCATTTCTAGACGTTACTTATTACAAACATATTAATTTAACATTTTATAAGATATGTAGTACTTACCCCGTGCTGTTGAAAATGTAACTTAATTTATTGTAATATACTAAATAATTATTAAAACTGGTTCAAAATAGATGATCAAGGCATGCATTTCTTAATAAAAAAAAAATAAAAATGAAATACGACAACATATTTTTAAAATATTAAAGATGATTCACTAAATGTGATTTTACATGAGAGAAATACATTTAAAAATTAAAACACCAAATTAGAATGTATAGTTTTAATTAAAATCCGGTACAGCGCTCTACTACCATAAGCAAAGAAGTTACGCAAAACCAAATTCAACGTTTGATAGAAATAAATCGAAGGTGGTGCCCCAATATATAAATGCAGCGGTACTAACGACGTTCAGTATCAGACTAGTTTGTACATTGAAACAACCACTTCTATCAATAATGATTGCTAAGGTAAATTCAATTACATAAAATGTATATATAAAATTATATAAATTACATTTATATTCTACTTCGATCTCTAGGTTTTGGGATTCGCAGCTCTCGTAGCTTTCGTTCAAGCCGGAGTTTTTGAACTCCATCATGGAGAACATGGAACATCGTATTCAACAGTGAACTTAGTCGCTGTTCCGGCTGTTGTAAAAACTGCTCATGTTGCTCCAGTTGCCCACGTCACACCTGTATTATCTGTAGCTCATGTTGCTCCTGTAGTTACCAAAGTGGTTTCGCCAGTTGTACAGAAAGAATTTTATCCTGATACTCCAGCTCACTATTCCTTCGAATATGGAGTTAACGATGCCCATACCGGTGATGTTAAGAACCAACACGAAGAACGCGATGGTGATGTCGTGAAGGGCTACTACACCTTGGTTCAACCTGATGGTGTTACTCGTACTGTTCACTACACTTCTGATGCTCATAGTGGCTTCAATGCTAACGTCGAATATAAGGGAGAACCAATCGTCCAAAAAACTGTAGTAGCTAAAGCCATTGTTCCAGCTAAAATTTCAGTAGCTGCTCCTGTGTACCATACGTACCACAATTAAAGCCGCAACCTCATTTCGTTGCTATATTTATAAGTTAATATAAAAATAAAATCGTACATATAAATCACATACATTGTATTATTTATTTTATCCTAAACATTGTTGAAAATTTATTGGTTATCAATATAGATAATACAAACATTCACTTTTTAATTATATTGATTGTAAGATGAATATCTATTAAGATTTTACTAACAATAAATTTAAGTAATAATAACAAAAACTAAAATATAATAATTTAAACAAAGGCAAAAGACGGTAATGTTTCCGCCCTTTTTAAAATTATTGTCTAATCATTAAACTAATTAAAATATCTGCTACAATTGTTGTTCTTACATAGAGACATTATTTAAACGAATTAACTATAGTAATAAACTCTATCATTTATTTAAAAAATGTGTGGAAGCTATAAATAAATTAATTTATTTGCTTATATTTATGTTTTTTTTTTATATTTCATAAGAATTTAAATTAATTTATTAAGTATTTTCTACATATTAATCAATATATAATTCTGTCTGGATCTAATTCTCTATCCTCTACAACTAAAATATATTATAATTTAAAAGTATCAACCAATCTAAGTAATATATTAAACAAACAAAAAATTATATAGCAAAAAAAATAACAATCAGGTCAAAGGACTATCGACCACCGATTTTCCACCCAAAAATTATTAATTATTATTATTTTAAGGGATTAAAAAATATAGTCGAGTGTACAAAACTTATAATAACATTAAATTTAAAAACTCGTTTTAAACAAATAAATATGACTACTGACAATAATATTTATACAAATCTTTTCATTTTAAAATTTGAAATTATCAGCATATACAATATATTATGTAAAAAGATATGGCAGCTCATTACCTTAAATTAAAATTACGTAATTTTATTTAATGCACAATAAAATGCTTTACATAATTTGAATATTTCATTAGAAAAACAGAGAAGGTGCGTTGCGTAAAATCAATTTGAAGGTGGCGCTTCGGTATATAAGCATTCCCATTCTCGTAAAGGCAACACCAAAAATGATTGCTATCTATTTAATGGTATCAATTAATTATTTAGTTTTTCATTGATTTTGGCTATTTCTGCCGTTGTGGCTTTTGCCAATGCTGGAGTTATCAATCTTCATCATGATGTCCATGCGACATCATATTCTTCAGTAAACTTTGCTGCTGTAGCACCAGCACATGCCGCTCCAGTCGCACATGTTACCCATGTTGCTCCAGTAGCTCACATTACACCAGTTTCTCACGTTTCCTATGTCGCTCCAGTAGCCCACATCGCTCCAATTGTTGCTAAAGTCGTAAATCCCGTCATCAAGAAAGAAATTTACGCCGATGTTCCAGCTCATTACTCTTACGAATATGGAGTTAATGATTCTCACACCGGAGATATCAAAAACCAACACGAAGAACGTGACGGAGATATTGTAAAGGGTTTCTACACCTTGGTTCAACCTGATGGTGTGACCCGTACTGTCCACTACACTTCTGATGCCCATAGTGGATTCAACGCTAATGTTGAATACAAAGGAGAACCGATTGTACAAAAGGCTGTCGTTCCAGTCAAAGTAGCCGTAGCTTCTCCAGTATACCATGCTTACCATCACTAAATAAAATAATTGTTATTTTTTTTAAATTATTTTGTAATGAATAAATTACCTACATGTATATACAGAAAAAATATTTTTATAATTATAAATATTAAAAAAAAATATTAGAACAGACATTATTATTTCAAAAATATGCTATAAAATTAAATAAGTATTTTTAATTTAAAACTTTCAATGAAGTAGATTAATAAAATCAAATATTTTACATAAATATCTTTGATACATATTGACGAAGGTCACGTTGAATATCAAATATTATTGACTTAAATAGAAATTATTAACGTTACAAAAAATAATACATTATAAACCATTTTTTTTCTTAATATAATATACAAATTCTATAAACAGAAATTTCATTATTTAAGATTTCATTATGAAATGTATTTTTAGAATTTAAACTTTATATTCGAAAGCAGACATGCTATTGATTATCCGGTAGTGAATGTAAATATTCACTTCAGCAAAACAAAACAGATTAAATTACAATATTAATTAATTTGATATTAAATTGGTTTTGCAAAAAAAACATTTTATTATCAAAATATTTAAATACAATTTATATTACATTTCATATCTATGGTTATTTTTATTCTTTGGTTTATTATTCTGAGACATACAAGTGTTATTATATTTTCCGCAAAAAAAATCACAAACACAAGTTTGGAAATATGTGTGATCACAAAGAACACTAAGATGCAACTAGAATGACTACTAGTAGAGGTATTTTTATACTTTTAACATTTATTTATATAAAAAAAGCTTATAGTGTATATATTATAATAATGGTTTGACACAAAACATTTGTGTTTTGCATTTACAGCAAATACAAATTATATTTGCAAAGTATAATCTACTATAAATAAAGATGACAAAGAAAATCGAATTCAAAAATACACATAATATGTGTACACAAGTTTTGAAAATGATGTAATCCGAAACTTTTCACAAATTTAGAATGTACTAAAGTAAGAGTGTGCTATTCATAAAAAAGCCGGTAAAGCGCTACACTGCCATAAGCAAAGAAATTACGTAAAAACCTTTTCAATGTTTCGTGAAACAAAATTGAAGGTGGTACCCCAATATATAAATGCAGTCGTTTGAACAACTTTTAGTATCAGACTAGTTTGTCTATTGAAACAACCACTTCTTTCAATAATGATTGCCAAGGTAAATTAAATAATATATAAATTAGTAAATTATATTTATATTTTATTCCGATCTTTAGGTTTTGGGATTCATAGCTCTCGTAGCTTTGGTCCAAGCAGGAGATTTTGAACTTCATCATGGAGAACATGGAACTTCCTATTCATCTGTAAACTTCGTCGCTGCTCCGACTGTTGTGAAAACTGCTCACGTTGCTCCAATTGCCCATGTCGCACCAGTAGTACATGTTGCTCCAGTGGTTACTAAAGTGGTAGCACCAGTTGTACATAAGGAAATTTATCCTGATACTCCGGCTCATTATTCGTTCGAATATGGAGTTAATGATGCCCATACCGGTGATGTCAAGAACCAGCACGAAGAACGTAATGGAGATGTCGTAAAAGGATATTACACATTGGTTCAACCTGATGGTGTCACTCGTACCGTACACTACACTTCCGATGCTCACAGTGGTTTCAATGCTAACGTCGAGTACAAAGGAGAACCAGTTGTTCAAAAAGCTGTAGTTACTAAAACCATCGTTCCAGCAAAAATTGCCGTAACTGCTCCTGTATACCATACTTACCACCATTAAGTCCACAAACACCAATCTGTTGCTATATTTATAAGTTAGTATATAATAAAATAGTAAATACAATTTTTATTTTTTATTCTTTACATAAAAATATTGACTTCAATATCATTGTCCTCTTTCTTTATTTAATCCATCAACTTTCTCATTTGAAAAATGTCTGAATTAAAAAAAGTAGGAGTATAAAAATCAAGAAGAAGACCATGTTTTTGACGATTCGGGGTCGTGTTATAAATAATAATAATGTTTATTGCATCAGTCGTACAAAAAAACATATACAGAAATAAAAAGAACAAAATAACTATATAAAATTTCAAAAAAGTTAACTAATACAAAGTTCTTTTGACCATAAGTCTTTTTGCCCGGTTATAGATATTAAAATGATATCAACTATTTATATTAAAAAATGATTTGTCTATGTTTCAATGTTATACATGACATTCGGATTCTTGCACTAAATAATCTCCCAGTGACGGAGAGAGTGGCTATCCGAGCAATCACTAAGTTTAATCCAATACTTAATCATCCTAAAAAATATTAAAAAAAAAATAATATAACACCCATTTTAAAAACATTATTTATATTATAAACATTATCACATTATTTCAAAGTGTTCTATAGCCTTTTTTTCTTTTTTGGTTAACTACTGTATATTATATAATTGATTTCGGAATAGAAAGATATATGGCCAATAGCCCTCTATTCTTTCTGTTGTTTAATTTTTAAGAGAAGAATTGAAGTGGGAAAACAACGGTGAGCCCAAAATAGGGTTAATATGAATTATAAAATATAATAAATAAATAATATACAGTGGAGCCTCGCATAACGAGCATTTCGCTTAACGAGCTAGGTTTCCCATAACAAGTAATAATGAGAAGAGAAGTACTAGATTGCGCGCCTGCTACATCATTTTTAAAACTTGTGTACACATATTATGTGTATTTTTGAATATGTGTCACTATACGAGTATTTCACTATACGAGAAAATTTTCAAACGGATTAAACTCGTTAAGCGAGGTTCCACTGTTATAAATCATAATTACTTCATATTAGTTATGTTCTAATCAACCAATATCTTAATGAAAAACTTTGAATTTATAATTTTGTATTATTACAGCATGTCTTTTAATTTTCACATTTTTCGTTTACTTTAGATATCATTATTAAAAAATACTAATAATTTACTATAATATAAATTTTTATAATTCCAATCAATAAAACAAAGATTACGAACCAGAGGTATAATTTAATATAATTAATATTATCTTAATTATTTTACATTCAGTTGCTATTACAAAGTAGAAAGCGAGTTCATAATGAAATTACTTAATTTACTGAAATATCATATAAAATTAACATTTTATTTTTGATCATTTTTAAATATTCTCAATGTCAACAGTGAATTAAGACAATTTAATCAAATAATTCAATTTCCAAATGGTCCGCAATAGAAATTAGAAGGTGATTAAACGCGCGCGTTTAAGTATAAAGTGGGAAAAACAAATCGAGAAAAAAAACGTAAATAATAAATTCAACATTTCGTAAGTCCAAATAGAAGGTGGTGTTACAATATATAAATAGAGTCGATCGAGCGACAATCAGTATCAGAACTTACTTACTGAAACAGCAATCATGATCTCAAAGGTAAATTCGTTATTATATTATAATTCAATAAATATAAATTTATAATTTTATTTTTAGTTCTTAGGTTTTGCAGCTCTTGTGGCTTTTGCTCATGCTGGAGTTTATGAACTCCATCATGGAGAGCACGGAACATCATATTCTTCAGTAAACTTAGTTGCATTTCCGGCTGTCGTGAAGACTGCTCACGTTGCTCCAATTGCACACGTTGCACCGGTATTTAAAGTAGCACCTGTAGTTGCTAAAGTAGTAGCTCCAGTTGTTCAAAAAGTAGTCTATCCTGACACACCAGCTCATTATTCCTTCGAATATGGTGTTAATGATGCCCACACTGGAGATGTAAAGAACCAACATGAAGAACGTGATGGCGATGTAGTTAAGGGATACTACACTTTGATTCAACCTGATGGCGTCACCCGTACCGTCCACTACACATCAGATGCTCACAATGGTTTTAATGCCAACGTTGAATACAAAGGAGAACCAATCGTCCAAAAAGCTGTAATTACTAAAGCCATTATTCCAGCGAAAGTAGCAGTAGCTGCTCCTGTATATCATGGATACCACCATTAAGTCTTCAAATTATATTGCGTTATTTTATTTATAAGTTACTATTAAATTTTAATACTGAAAAATATAGTTTCATTGGTACCCTAATTATTCCTCATTAAATATTAATAACATAGATAACCTCTAATATTCAACATAAATAATAAATTATTGAAAGTTGTTTAGACCAGGGTTTCCCAAACTACGTATGTGAAAATCTGGAATGAAATAATTACAATATAAATATTTTTTTTAAATTTTATTGATTATATGTTATTACCTACCCTTCAAAAACCCTTCAAATCCTGAAAGTTTCAGGATATACGAAGTGTTCCGTTGCCGGAAAATTTTTGGGAAACCCTGGTATAGACTATGGAGTTAACAATGGATATATCAAAAACCAGATAGTGTCATCCGTACTGATCACTCACTACACCTCCGATACTCACTAAAGGTTCAATACTACCGTCGAATTCAAGGGAGAACCATTTGTGCAAAAAAACTGTAGTTGTTAAATCAATTGTTCAAGCTAAAATTTCCATAGCTTTTTTGTAAATTAGTGAAAACATGCTTACCACCATTGATGCTTCCAACCTTGAAATATAACGTCAATTTTTAAAATGTAAATTTCAATCATTGCAAAACTGATATATTCTTAAACCATTAAAATAATAATCAGTTATTCAAATCGATAATGAATAGTAATATATTATTACCACCATAATTATTTGCTATTATTATTTTAATATAAATATATCACTTTATAAATTTTAGACAAGTTTAAGCAAATTACAGATAATCAATATTCCTGGAAAACATGCGTTTGGAATTGATATAATTAAAGTTGCATTACATAATAAGAGTATTTAATTGGCAAGAAAACTTATGTTAGGAGACTTTTCAAATTATTATTTTCAATAATTACTATAATGTGTTTTTTTACTTTAACAATTTTACATGGACAATCCATAATTATTAATAATATTTATACTATTATATAATAGGTCTTATATATTACTGCATTGAACTATTTTTAAACTTCAAAGTTTCTTAAATCATTTTACAAAATAATTGATAAGTAAAGAAAAATAAAAGCATACCTATAATTTCAATTATTGAAACATTTTAACACAGGTCAATTAACTTTAGTTTTTTCTGGTAGGAATTTTAAATATACGAATATAAAATAATTTTGACCGCAGGATTTTTAAGTATAATTTCATGAACATCAACATACAACAAATTGTTGTATTGTCTAGTAAAAGTTTGGACAATTATTATAGAAATATTATTTGTTAGTTTTAACTTTTAAATTATTGAAATGATAATTTTCTTAATCTCGTAAAATATTCAACAGAATATATAAACACAGATTAAAATTTCCTCAATGTCAATTGTGAATTAGAACAATTTTATTGAATTCAATTTCCAAACTATCATTAATAGAAAATTAGAAGGTGGTTCAGCGCACTCGTTTAAGTATAAAGTGTACAAACCGAATCAAAGAAAAAAATTACGTAAATAACAAATTTAACATTTTGTAAAGCCAAATAGAAGGTGGTGCTATAATATATAAATAGAACCGAACGAGCGACAACCAGTATCAAAGCTGTTTACTTACTGAAACAACAATCATGATCTCAAAGGTAATATCGTTATTACATATAATTCATTAATAAATTTACAATTTTATTTTCAGTTCTTGGTTTTCGCAGCTCTTGTAGCTTTCGCTCAAGCTGGAGTTTATGAACTCCATCATGGAGAGCACGGAACATCATATTCTTCGGTAAACTTACTTGCGGTTCCGGCTGTCGTAAAGACTGCTCACGTTGCTCCAATTGCCCACGTCGCACCGGTATTTAAAGTAGCACCTGCATTTGCTAAAGTATTAGCTCCAGTTGTTCAAAAAGTAATTTATCCGGATACACCAGCTCATTATTCCTTCGAATATGGAGTTAATGATGCTCACACCGGAGATGTAAAGAATCAACACGAAGAACGTGATGGCGATGTAGTAAAGGGATACTACACTTTGATTCAACCTGATGGCGTCACCCGTACCGTCCACTACACATCAGATGCTCACAGTGGTTTCAATGCCAACGTTGAATATAAGGGAGAACCAATCGTCCAAAAAACAGTAATTGCTAAAGCCATTGTACCAGCCAAAATTGCAGTAGCTGCTCCTGTATATCACGGATACCACCATTAGTTCTTCTAATTATATCGAATTACTATAATGCGATATAAAGTTACTATAAAGTTAATATTAAATTTAAATACACAATATATTAGTTTTATTACTATCCTAATTGTTCCCCTTTAAGAATATTGAACCTAAGTTACCTCTTCTATTAAATATAAATAATAAATCAAGATAAATTATTAACATATGGAGTTAAGTTATTTCTTTTCTTTTGGTATATAATATTTTTTTCTTATATTAAACTTAGAAATTTGATATTATTACATTTGATATTACAATGTAGTATATATAATATTTGTGATTTTAGAATCTTACTCATATCTACTTTAAATACCAATAAATATTCCAACTTAAAATATATTTATGATGTAATCATTTACAGTTGCTTAATATGTTTTAAGTTTAATAAATTTGTTTTTGTTTTCCAAAATACTTTTTATATGGAATTGTTTTTAAATTCCTTAAATCAATAACTGTCAGTAGCTTATTAGTTCGAATTATTGTCTTAACTATAATGCTAAACTATTGTTAATTTTAGTACGTGTTATTTATTTCTAATAATGAATGTTGTTGAGTACTATTTTTTGTTGAAATATAAGTTAATACTGACAGGAAGACTTCGATAGCCCGGAATCTATAAATTTCGTAATTATTATTATTTAATAATTAAAATAAAAAAATGTAATTTTTCTTGTTGCAATAAATGTAGTTATATTTTTAATTATAAATAATCACAATGCGTTTACAGATATTCCAAAACAGTGAAAACTGGAAACTTCACCACTTCGCAACTCATTATATATTTTCACATGTTTTTTTTTTACTTAATTAATTAAAATATTGAAAAATATCTAATATAGGTTAGTAGGTCAAGTAGGATTACTTTATAATAATTTATTCTAAATAATTTATTCTAAATCCTTAGACAGAATTTATCGAGGATTACTTAATATCGTTCAATATCTATGTAATTACTTTTTCATTTCAATTTAAATATAAAATAAATACACATTCAGAAATATAATAATTGCTTGTATTATTACTTACTTATTGGTTATAACTAGTATATCAATTATATACTAGTAATGTGCAATTATTATATTGATATATATTTATATAAGTACATACTTATAGAAACAAGTCTAATTATACCAAATTTTTCTTGACTATAAATAAAAAATATAATAAATAAATAAACTTTTTTATACTAATAAGCACCATAATTATATATTAATTATTCATTTTTTTTTAGTAGCAATAATTAATAAATTTAAAATTATAACGCTGAACTAAATAAACTTTAAATAATGTATGCTCCGAATCTAATGTTAAATTTCATAATTTAAATTCCATAAATACTTTTCATAACATACCCATAAAAAATCTAAATATTCTTAATAGAATAAGTTACGAAAAAGCTTCGTTGCGTAAAGCAAAATCGAAGGTGGTTCTCCCATATATAAAGTGATCCGGTTGACTAAAATATATATCACAAGCAATCTCGTGTTTGAATCAGCAACAGATATAATTAATAACAAAAATGCTTGCTAAGGTAATTAATCACTTATTGTCATTAGTTATTTAATAATACAAACATATTTGTAGATTTTGGCTATTTCTGCCTTTGTGGTCTTCGCTCATGCTGGAGTTATAAATCTTCATCATGATGCCCATGCTACTTCTTATTCCTCAGTAAACTTTGCAGCTCTAGCTCCAGCCCATGTTGCTCCTATAGCACATGTTGTTCACGTCGCACCAGTTGCCCACATCGCTCCAGTTATTGCCAAAGTTGTAGCTCCCGTCATCAAGAAGGAAATTTATGCTGACGTTCCAGCTCATTACTCTTACGAATATGGAGTTAAAGATTCCCACACCGGAGATATCAAGAACCAACATGAAGAACGCAATGGTGATGTAGTCAAAGGATTCTACACTTTGGTACAACCTGATGGTGTCACTCGTACCGTCCACTATACATCAGATGCCCACAGTGGATTCAATGCTAACGTTGAATACAAAGGAGAACCAGTTGTACAAAAGGCTGAAGTAGCTAAAGCCGTTGTTCCTGTAGTAGCTGCTCCAGTATATCATGCTTACCATCATTAAATAATTATATCCATGTTTGTTACGTTATCAATATTTTTACTAAATAAATTATTCAAATATAAAATTTTCAAGTGTGGTAATTCTTAAGCCCACCATTTATTTATACAATAACTTCTAAAAAGTCATAGTTAGAAAAAATATGGCTGATAATTAATTATAAAACAATGCGTTCATAAATTATATAAAATAAAAATAAATAAATGATAGACTCTTGAATATTATAATATATAAAGAATATAGTTCTATTTATTATATTTATTTTTCCTTTCCATAAAAGTCAAATTGAATTAAATACAACAAAAAAGGACATTGTATAGAAAAACTAAATAAATCAATATTAAATTTATATATTTTTATGATACATTCAATTATTACTCTTGATATGTAGATTTGCTACACAAATAGCAATGAGATATCTTATGTTAACCTATTAATTATCCTTGAAGCTATTCCGAAACCGACCTATTCAAATAATCCTCTGCAAATTCATTATAATAAAATATCCAGCAATATTAATGTTATGAGTTAGGACAGAAAGACCTATGGTCAGTAGCACTTTGCAGCAATTCAATTTGGTTTAATTTTTCTTATTGTGTTATTTTATTAAGTTTGTACCATGTTTGTTCAAATCAATATTTTTATTTATTATTATGTATTATAGATATTCCAAGAAATAATTAATCATTCGGCTAAATTAATCAACCAAATAAATTGTATCATGAGCTTCTAAGCAATTATACTCTAAAATACATGAATTTATTAAAAATTTATAAAATATTGTCTCGTGTGCCTGGATGAAAGATCTCCGTGGATCATCCCGTTGTAGTTTATTCATTGTAAAGTCTTATCCTATGAGTATAATAGTATTAAATCTATAATTGTATTGATTGTAATGATTGTAAACATCGCGGTTTTATAAGATATTCATCATCATTTTCTTGCTAAGGTTTTATGATCCAAAGGAAAAAAAAGTAAGAACTTTCTATGATCACGCACAAGTATCATTTTGTAAATTTAATAGACACGTTATATGTGCACATATAATAATAAATATATAAAAAGGTTGGTGACAATATTTTATCTATTGAAATGTAATTTAGTAATTCCCATGAAAATTATGAATTGAAGGCATATTATTAATTGAGCTAGTAGTAACTATTTTTTACATTTATTTTATTGAATTTTATAGAAAACATAACAACGACAAAAACATTATTTAATGATGGTAGGCATGGTATACTGGGGCTACTACAGCTGGAACAATGGCTTTAGCAACTACAGTTTTTTTAACGATTGGTTCGCCTTTGTACTCAACATTGGCATTGAATCCATTGTGTGCATCGGAGGTGTAGTGGACGGTACGGGTGACACCATCAGGTTGGACCAAGGTGTAAAATCCCTTGACTACATCACCATTACGTTCTTCGTGTTGGTTTTTGATGTCTCCGGTATGGGAATCTTTAACTCCATATTCGTAAGAGTAATGAGCTGGTACATCAGCGTAAATTTCCTTCTTGATTACTGGAGCTACGACTTTGGCAACAACTGGAGCAACATGGGCAACGTGAGCTACTGGAGCTATGTGAGCTACAGGAGCAACATGAACGACTGGAGTGACATGGGCTGGTGCCTCAGCAGCAAAGTTTACTGAGGAATAAGATGTCGCATGGGCATCATGATGAAGATTTATAACTCCGGCATGAGCGAAGGCCACAAAGGCAGATACAGCCAAAATCTATAAATAAAAATTGTTGAAAACTGATTATTAACAGTATTTAATATTACCTTAGCAATCATTATTTGTTTGGATTTGATTTCGTTACGAGAAGTCGAAAGTTTCTGATACCGATATTAGGCAGATAGATTGCTTTATATATGGGAGCATTATTCAAATTTAATTTTCGAAATATTATTTACATAACATTCTCCAAGTGTTGTGAACACCGCTTACTATTATGTACATATTATAGAAGTATTAATCGCTTTAAAAACTTTGTGCTATTTATAATTATTTCTAATTATATAAAATTCCTTAAATTCAATTTAAATTACTTAAACATAATCTACCTCCGCATTTTTTTTGCATCCTCGCAAATACAAACACACTGCCACGTTCCAATAATTAATTACATTTAAAAGAATTATTTTTCAGTATTTTTCAGAACTTGCTTTATTTTTGTATGAAAATGTTTATTTTTTTATTAATGCAATAAATATTAATTATTTATATATCTACTACCTGTGATATTACTTTTGAAATAACGATTAATAACTTTGTAACTAATTAAAATATTGTTTGTTTTATATAATTTATAAAATATAAATAACTAAATTATATAACACAACACAAAGGGTGTTCCATTTAAAAGTGAACAATATGCATTTTTTAATAAAATAACAACGAATAATAATAATCAAGATTTCATTGTTCCTATGTAAACTAGGAAGATTATTTATATAAGACCACAATTATTTTTTTCTTGAAATTATATATCACATTTTGAATTGTCTCTGACTTATAGGCATAAACTTTGTCTTTATGATCACTCGAAATATTACAGCATATTTCTTAGATGTATGAATTGCCTATTTTCTACTGTTTATTTTATTGATTTGAATATGTTGCTATAAGCTTATTTTAAATGCAGGTATAGTCTTAGTTAATTATTTATTTCTTAGATATAAATATTAATTTTTATATGTATCTTTAAGCTAATGACCATGTATATCAATGCGTATCAAGAAAAAAAAGTCTAAAGGCGCCATGATTTTAGTGGCAAATTGGTGTTACTAATTAAGCGAGTAGGGAAATTGGACTGTAAAAATGTGATTGTTTCACCATCTTGTTGAAAAAAAGGTTCTCTATATCCATATATCGGTCAAATTATTAAGAGAATTTT